CAATCATTATTTAGTCATTTATAAGCATATATTTATCGCTGAGCTCATCAGGGGCTAAGTGTATCAAACATGGGTTTAGATGCTAATTTAATGCACTGTTTTCTGTTTGTTTTACATCATTTTTGTTTTTAATTTAACAAATTCTAATATATATATATATATATATATATATATATATATATATATATATATATATATATATATATATATATATAAATAAAAGTCAACACTCAGAGGTGACAGGCTGTTTCATGGTGGATGCAATCGTCAGGCTTCGACCTGAAGATTGGGTCCAGCATGAAACAGCCTGTCGCCTCTGAGTGTTGACTTCAGAGTTTACTTTTTATATTTATATTTACATACACTCTATCTCTGATATTGAGCACTTTATCCCATAAAATATAGCACACCTTAAATCTATATTTTTTATATATATATATATATATATATATATATATATATATATATATATATATATATATATATATAGGGTGAGTCAAAATTATGTGAGCACAAACTATGAGAGCAATCATTTATTCACAGTTTACCCTCATATCCAGAAGACACTGAGTGTAATTGTCCCATATTTCTTTACAACTCCATCGTTGACTGCAAATGCTTACTTATAAATGCTGCAAGAGTTTGCCATTGATAACCTACCCCTTACTTATCAGACGAGCTGGGTATTTCCAACAGGATGGTGCACCGCCTCATTTTGCCTGTACTGTTCGCGCTTACATCGATCAAATTTTGCCAAATCGTTGGATAGGTCGCAGCAGACCGTTGGCATGCCCACCACACGCCCGTGATCTTACACCCTGTGATTTCTGGTTATGGGGTAGGATAAAGGATCGCGGGTATTGCAAAAAACGTTTTAAAGTAAACTCTTAATAAATGATTCCTCTCATACTAGTGCTAACATAATTTTGACTCACATTTTTTATATATATATATATATATATATATATATATATATATATATAGATAGATATAGATATATATATAAAGTATAAAGAAGAAAGAATATATAAGAATATATATATATAATAAATAAGAATATATATATAAGAAATATATATATATATATATATATATATATATATATTTAAAGATATTTTGTAGGTACAAAATTTAATGATCGAAATAAAAGTATAAAATTTAATAATAATTTAATAATAAAATTTAATATTACAAGACATATTAAAAAAAAATAAAAAATAAAAAAAAAACAACAAGGGGGAAGCAACCGGAGCAACTAGAGACAAATGACAGCGAGTCCCAGCAAACCCTCACTTTGTTTGCACAAAGAAGGCTTGCGGGACCCGATGTAAAGTGCCTCCAGAACCTTCAGATGAAATAAAGAGTGAGACTGGGCCAACACGGTGAACCAGTCAACACTAAATTTGCCAAATTTATGTATGTGTGTGTGTCTGTATGTATGTATGTATGTATGTATTCTTCTGGGGTAATCAGAGGACTAGATGGAATAAGGATGTTTAGATGTAAGTTCAGGTATATCAACACAACCATCTGGATATATGATACTGGTTGATTCTTAAAGAAATATTCTTTTTGATGTCAAACAGGTACGTTTAAACATGACCCTTGTACTGGCATTCTCTACCACTTGAGTAAATTGTGACGTTTGGAGAATATTTTCTTTTTGAAAGTGCGTCTTATATATTCGGGCAATCCGTTATGCCCTTCATCGAAGCATCCGTTTTAGAAGTGTAGAAAAAAGAACTATTTCTCCAAATATTTATGTAGAATGAGTACCCTGTTTAGCCAGACGGAATCTTATTATAACATGTTTAGTATTCATGTTGTCCTTTAATCATATATAACATTTTACACACAGAAACACATACACACACAAATATATATATATATGTATGTATGTATGTATCTATGTTTCATTAAAAACGACGGACAAGGTACTACGGTTAAGCTTTTTATTTAATTTTTCTTGTGTTCGAACAAGAGCTTTCTTTTCTGGACAAAGAGAGTGTAAAAACTGTCCAAATATTTTATAGTTCCTAGCCCTATTGGCTATACCTTTAGCCATTATCAAGGATGATTCGATTTTTCAGCTTAATTGAGGGTGTGCATTATGTGTAGGTTTTAGTGTGTTGTAGAGATGGTTTTACTTTCCGAATACGGTTAGCACAATGCGGCCTTGTTCGTAGTTAATCTTGTTAAGAGTTAACTTTTTCTTTTTTATTATAAAGCTTAATATATATTACCGTAAATCCCCATGTATAATACGCATTTTTCTAAAAAATCATAAGAAAAATCACTAGTGCGTGTTATGCACAGCTACCAAAATCTTTAAAAAATTGCTGTAAAATAAAATAAGGATTATCATAAAACTAAATTAGAATAATATTATTCTATGTTTTAAACCATTTTCTACAAATAAAAGTAGGAAACACAGGTCATAATGAAATTGAAGAGGTACAATTTATAGGCTTTGGTTGCCAAACTAGGGGTGCGTATTATGCGTGAGTAGAAACATTTTCCCACACTTTCAGCATAAATAAATATGTGTGCATATTATTGATGACTGCGTATTATACATGGGGGAATTACGGTATTATATATATATATATATATATATATATATATATATATATATATATATATATATGAACGGGAAGCTTTTTGAATTTTTAACAGATTTCACCCTACTATAAATATTGAGTACTGAATTAAGTGCATTAGCAAGGAACATGAAATATATATATATATATATATATATATATATATATATAAAGGACATTTTTAAAAGATTGAAAAAATATTAAAAAGATTATATATATATATATATATATATATATATATATATATATATATATATATATATATATATATATGTATATATAATAAAAAAAGAACAGTAAGATATATAATCCGGTGTTATAAATATTTTTATTTTTTACAAAATAGTGCTCAATGTAAATTTACAGAGCATTAATATTTGTATATATATATATATATATATATATATATATATATATATATATATATATATATATATATATATATATGTGTGTGTGTGTGTGTGTGTGTGTGTGTTTATATATATATATATATATATATATATGTATATATATATATATATATATATATATATGTGTGTGTGTGTATGTGGGTGTGTGGGGGTAATATATATAGGAATATATATATATATAATCTTTTTCAGTAATAAGTTCTTTCATCATTAGATTATAGACTTAATGATTTACCTAAGTAAATATAAAGTCGACGATAAACAGGTTCCTGTTAAAACACAGTCTTTTCAAGTTGGATGTGCTAAATGTTTTGAATATTTGCTCTCTTTTTTTTTTGGCTGTAACTGCTTCGTTTACTCGAGACGCCATAAAATCGTTGTGGAGTCGAACGAGGCGGTATCCCATTGCGAAATCATTGCAAGTGATTGCGTTATTACTTAAAATGGTCTTGCCCATTGCTCCGAGATAGAAACCAGATACCAGTTGTTCGACAAGGGAATTCTACGTTACGGCTCACTGCAGGAGACGTAGACGATGACGACGAAGATGGCGATGGTTTCGTGGAACGCGGAAGCGCGAGACCTACAACAACGCTTCTGCAACACACGACCTCTCTCCTCCGCTACCCAGGTCTTCTGATTCTTGTCGGTGCAAGAGAGTGCCAGGTTTTCAATTTGCTGGAATAGCAGGAAATAATAAGTGCCTCTAAACCTGATAGCAATCTTCTTTCTTTTTTTTTCTTTTTCCAAAATACAGCAGACCCTCGATTTAACGTATTATGGTATCACTGATTTCGGACTTTTTTTAAAAAAAAAGAAAAAAAAAAAGGAGCTGAGATTCTTTTGAGTTTGACAGAAATACCAAGGTTGTCACGAATATCATATCAAAGGTGCTTTCTTTTTCTTATTTTCATTATCCTGTTAACAAAGGCCAATTGACTTCTTCTTTCTTCTTTTATGTGCCGTCTCCCTTCAGAACGTAGGCGATCATGGATCTCCACTTCTTCCTCTTCCTAGTAGCTCTCAATGTTTTGTCTTTTTGTTATTTCTCACCGACTCTGTTCTGCTATCCACTTGCTTAAGTCCGTTAAGTATGTCACGCGTTGCTTTCCCTTGTCCCGCTTTCCTTCTATCGGCCTTGTGAGTATCAGATTTTCTAAGCCCTCCTTTCTCATTACGTGTCCTAGAAATTTCAGCTGCCTCTTCCTGATGCTAAGTTTCCCCTTTGTTTGCATTCTCTCCAAAACCTCATCGTTGCTCCCATTTTCGGTCCATGGTAATCCTTAGCATCCTTCTGTAGAACCACACGTCTGTTGCCTCGAGTCTCTTCTTTATCTTTGAGGAGATTGTCCAACATTCGCTGTCGGAAAGAAGTATAGATATCACGTAGCAGTTCAATACTTTTTCCTTGGTTGCCAACGAAATCCTCCTGTCTCGTAATACTCTGCTTAGCTTTTGGAATGCGTTTTTGGCCATCCCAATACATCTTCGGATCTCAGTGTCGCATTTACCGTCCTCCGACAGAACATTTCCCAGATATTTAAATTTCTGCACATGCTTGATTTTAGTGCCCCCATTCTGTAAATCGCATTTCGGGTTCATCTTTTTGCTGATGACCATGAATTCTATTTTCTTAGACGTTTTTATAGAACTATTAGGCTGAGGCAAAATGCCCCCCCCCCACACTGCGTTAATATTAGGGACAACTTGAAAGTGTCTTTGAAGTTTGCTTTAATTTTTCTTGATTGTACACGCAGAATTGTTTGAGGAAATTTTTAAATTGCTAAAATCATAAAAAATTGCTGAATTCATATCAATAGTGACTGCTGTTTAATTTGGACAAAGTGCAATGAAAACGATAACACCTCTCTATACATTTTTCTATGGAAACTATTTTCACCCAACTCAAGGCCCAAAAGCCACTCAAGATAGAGTGTTATTAATAGGGTTGTATGAGAATATGAAAAATAGATGACGGTCGACACTGAACTTACGGCCATATCACGTCGAAACATCGGTTCGCGTACGATCACAGACGTTAAGCAACATCAAACTTGGTCAGTGCTTTGATGGATGACCGCTTGGGAATTTCAAGTGCTGGATGTGCGGTTAGTGTATTGGATAATGCTCTGAATTGAAACTCAGAGAAATGAGTTCTAATTCCAGTCGGGTTCACTCACCCAAATATCCTTAGAAATGGTATAAACCCGCCTCTTCTCCTCCCAACTATAGGTTAATTCGTATGACTTGTTAGTAAATCATTTTGATCTCAAAAGAATTATTACAATCTATAAATATTTTCCGCCTTTAAATAACCTTTAAAAACTTGATAAACCGTAAAAATTAATCAATCGTGATTACCTTCAGAGGAGTGTTTTTAGAAATAACGTAACTTCTTGTTCGAACGAATAAAAGAGTAGCTGTATAGAGTATTATTTAAATAAATCCAAATCTACCACCAATGTAAAATAAATAATGCAGAAACACGTACCTCGACGAATTTCTCTGCCAAAAGATATCGATGTTGCTTACTTCATTTTGGCACTGGTCCAAATGGAGTAGAAATTGTAGGATCCATTAAATTCCATCATTAATCGCCCTATTCTGTAAGTCTTGCATTTATTTTTGAACAATCGTGCTTACGATCATATCACGTTGAAACACCGATCCTCATAGGACCACTGAAGTTACGCAACGTCGACCTTGCCGCCCAGTACCTAGATTGGTGGCTGCCTGGGAATACCATGTACTGTAAGCTTGGCTGTTCGGGTGGTGTAATGAATAACAGCTCAGAATTGAATATCGGCGAGCCGAGTTCCAATTCCAGTCGTTTTTACTATATTCACTTACGCTCAAATAAGGTCTGGAACGCTTTGAAGACAATTATTTTCCCCTCATGTATGGGTTAATTATTAGTACTTGTATCGGTGAATGATTACCCCCCAAAATTCCCCGGCTTTAAATAATTTGTAAAATGTTGATGAGCCGTAAAAAAACAAATCAATCACTTAATCTGAACAGCCAGATCGTCTTTCTTCCTGATTTTCAGTGCATTTCTATAGTAAAATATTTCAGTGCATTTCTATAGTAAAATATATCGTATTTAGATTATGCATATCATAGTTCTGTAGGTGCGCGCCGAAAATAATTGCACGGATTGACATAAACCATGCCACAAATCACTGTGAAAGAGTTAAAGTAAATAATATTATTATTATTATTATATATATATATATATATATATATATATATATATATATATATATATATATATATATATATATATATATATATATATATATAGGGTGCGATGGGTAAATTACCGCTGTATTATATTTTATTATGCGCATGCGCGTTGTTTTTTTTTCTGATTTTGCTGACTGCACAATATAGTAGGGGTCAGTTCTGTGAGAAAAAGACCACCATGACGCAATTAACTCCGTCAGGAATTTGGAAACGGCATGTTGTATTGCTTAGAATTCGCTCCAGAAACTCCAATACGAACATATCAGAGTGTGTTGGTGTCGATCTGAGGACAGTGCAGAGGATTCGGAAAGCTGTGATTTGACGCAAAACCTTAATGTCTCATGTCTGCAAGCAAAGTCGGAAAATTTCCAAAGCAGTTTGGGTTCCTCATTATCTTTCAATTCTGAACCGAACACAACGTTCCATCATCTGCAGCAGACATTTAACCAAAAATGCCAACATTCTATTTTTGCATCAGACTCTAAAACATGATGAAAAAGAGGTTTTTGCATGTCAAGAGAAAACGATAAAGACGGGGGTTATGATAAAATTGAAACCAGGACTCCATTCACAGAAATCCTTGATTTTTTTTTGTTTTTTTTTCTGGGAGAATATGGAAAACGCCACCTCTTGGGAACTTCTGGAACATGGGACGACCAACATTGCAGCTGTTTATTGCTATCAACTTGAACGGATCAAACAGCATTACGCCAAAAGTGTCTTACTTTGGGAAACAAAAAAACATGCTTCCTAATGGGAAAAACTGTCTGGTTACATTCAATGCCTCGAAAACCAAACTGGTTACATTTTATCACCGCTGATGAAACCCGGAATTACCGCCAGTGACCATTGACGAATGTCCCCTCAAAGAGGCTCCGTGAGAGAATATTGAACCTCAAACTTACATTCGACCTCAAGTGGAATTCTTATATTCGATCAATCGCTAAAGAGGCAGTTAAAATGATCATGTCCCCCCCGCGTACCTGACTCCTCATGGTATTCTCTACCTTTATAGGAGCCAGATCAGGTAAAAAAAAATGGCGTACTGATGTCATATTTGGGCGGGATCTGGCCAGTCTTCACTTTCCAGTTTCGATAGAGTTCAAAAGCGTCTCCGAGTTCTTGTGGGAAATTAATTATTTTCCACACTCCATCCTCTTTCTCACGGGCGGGATGCTGCGAGTCTCTCACAGGTTTATCGCTACTACGATGGTATGGGCTCGGACGAACTACATTCTTGGGTTCCACCAGGTCTAACCTTCACGGTTGGAACCCACCATGCCACTTAGATAGTAGCAAACCACACACATTCTCTCGGTATTCCATTATCGACAAGGTCCACTCGAACAGCTTCTTTCCAAGAACAACTGCTGTGTGGAACAAGACTACCATGAGGATGTCTCCCTGATCACTACAGCCATAACCTGTTTAAGTTATCTGTTAAATGTTATCTTCTTTTTCTATCCATATAAACTACACCTTAACGTAACCCTCTACCTCGAGTGCTCCTCTGGCCGTCTATAGGGCGAATCTTACGGTAAAAAATGACAAGGAAAAGGTCTTTAAAAAAAAAAAAAACATAGCAGGGAAAATAAGATCATTAGGATGGAAGGTGTCTTCTACATTCTTCATATTCCACAGATTTAGTACCTGTAGTGTTTTAATTGTTTCAGTCACTAAAACGTTGCATTAGTGACAGATTATTCAGTCAGTTATGTGCCATGCGTGATACACGATTAGGCGATCATGTATCTTTCAATACTGGATTCTCAAGTTTTCATTACGGCGGTTGTTTTCGGTGACTTTTTTTTTACGTGAATTTTTGCGACATATTTTTTACAACTTGGAAATAAATATAAGAATAATCGAAATTAATTGCGAAATCCAACGAAAGTCACCGAACAATTGTTTGTACGGAAAGTAAGGACCTACGTACATCAAATTGTCTTTAAATCAAGTGACGACAAAAGAAATATCGTTGAACATTTAAAAGGTAAGCTTAAATATTAATATAATCCTTAAATGCAGCGATCAGTTTTGAGTTTTTCTGTTTTTTATTATTAATTATCGTATCTATCTCCTCCCTACCTATTGCGATGAAGACCCAATCAAGAACCCTCCACAGGAGCTAGCTTAAATATCGTCCAATAGTGCAGCTTTTAAACTAGTAATTAAAAAAAATATTAGCATATACAGTGTAACCCGGATATAAGAGACCCGGATATAAGAGAAACCCGGATATAAGAGAGATATTTTCTCTGGTCCCAAATTAGAACCTCTGTTAATGTATATAAATTAGACCAAACCCGGATATAAGAGAAACCCGGATATAAGAGACATCTTCTCCGGTCCCGACAACTCTCTTATATCCGGGTTACACTATTTGTTTGTATACCTTTTCTGGTAAAACAATTATTTTTCGCAGTAAACAAAAACGCCTTTATTCCTTGCAGTGGTATAGTGATCATCAAACTAGTTTCCCAGACTATAAATCAGGTGCTCTATATTTGTGTCCTTGTGTCAGACTATGCTAGCTTTTTGAATACCTATAAATAAAAATGGTGATGATAAGAAGATAACAGCAGTAGAGATACCAAAATAATAATCATTATTTTTATTTCTTAATCTTATTGCCGTCTTTTAAGCGGGAGCTGAAGCTATAGTTGTACTTCTATTACTATGTCTGTATCTACTAGTAGTAGTTGTACTAGTAGCATTTGATTATGGTATTAACTGGATAAGACGCGCAAGAGTGCAGTATAGGGTGCGTGTAGATGTGCAAGGGTGGCGTGTGGAGTAAGCGATGTCGACGTATATAGAAACACAAGCGAAAGATGGTTAATACAAACATGGTAACAATAGCAACAGTGTTACGTGCAATTCCAGCTGCACCCACAACAGACATCCACCCTACCATCCTGATGCATTCGGAAACATTTCTATAATTTTAAATTTTTGTTTATCTTTCATTTCGATATTTTTAGTAATCATTCCACCTTCCCATCAAACCAGTCCCCCCACCATTCTTCATTCCCCCGCCCTGCTCGGCTTTCTCCTACAATGCCTTCGTCAGCAGGGCAACCGGTGCTACAGATCGACGCAGTCTACTGCGTATACCCGTTCGCTATGGACAACCGGCATTTGCATTTTGCACTGACTGCCAGGCAGTGGTGGTGCTGGCGTTGAGTGAGATTTGGCGCCGCTGGAATGGTGGGGATTTGTTGTTGTTGTTGTTGTTATTGTTACTGTGTGCATACGCAGTCTTGCAGAAAATGCGCATTGTGGTACATGTTGCAAACGTGTGCACTTTTGCATGCATGTACCCTCTTACACTCACACCTGACTTTTTGTCTCCTTCTATCCTCCTCCTCCCCATTTTCGTTTTTTTTCTTTTTCTATTCTTTTCTTTCTCGTTTTTTTTCTTTGTTTATACTCATATCCCACCTTCCACGTATTTCTTTTTGTTTTCTTCATTTTACCTCATTTCTTCTTTCCATTCTTCCTTTCCTTATGACATTAATTCCAGAATATCTATTTTAATCCGATCTTTCTTGTCCTTCACTCTTCTCTTTATTTTCTTCTCATCTCTTCTTTCTTTCTTTCTTTCTTTCTTTCTTTCTTTAATTAATTATATTTGGCTTTTAATTCTCGGATATCTCTGTCCTTAATTTGCATTTCACTGTCGATGATCTGTCTCCCTTTCTTTCTCAATTATTTCAAATTCTTTCTTCCTTCCTTCCTTCTTTCGGATCTTCCTTCCTTCCTTCCTTCAGACCTTCCTTCCTACCTTCAGACCTTCCTTCCTTCCTTCCATTCAGATCTTCCTTCCTTCCTCAGACCTCCCTTCCTTTCTTCC